TTTCAGTGTACTGCCTTCCAGAAGTAATTTCACAAGTAAAGGGGAATAATGTATCGAATGTGACACCGCGCCCCGTTTAAAAATGATCTTGCCCGAAATCGTGCCGGATGACGGCAGGATTTCGGGCATGCCCGGCCGGCACGCCCGAAATCCGCCCCGAACCAGGAGTCCGGGCTTGCCGAAAAATGATCATTTTGTTGGAAAACAAACCGATTTTCGGCAATGCCGGACGCTTGCCGGGCATGCCGAAAACGTGCCGAACCGTCCCTCCCATTAAGCTGCAGGGGAGGAGGGGGAGGTACCTGGATGGCGGTGCCCATTCAGTCTCGCACACAGGCACACTCATACACACACAGGCTCACATTTACACACTCACATACACACACACGTACACAGAACGCTGAAGGAGAAACACTGGTTAGTATTGGAACCCAGGACGACCGTCTTTGTGGACCGAGACGCTGCCAACTGCACCACGGAGGAGACCTGGGGAGGAGGCCTCAGGCTCCCGATGCCTTCCAGCGAGCTCGCTCGACCCCGAGCGGCACTGGAGGGGGCGGGGGAGACACGCTGCTGGCGGAGGAGCACGCGGCGAGCCCTGTGTCTTGACGAATACGTAACCCCCGCGAGACTCTTGGGTTACTCGCGGAGAGCCCCTCGACTTTTGGACAAGGTGCGTGGGTTGAACTGGGCACTTGGATCTAACAACAGACTTAGTGAACGTGAGCGTAGGTACTGGAGCACTGCGTGTGGTAGTCAACCCGCGGATCCAGGCCCACTGGAAACCCAGGTCTGAGGCTCCCAAACCCGGTTATTGGGGTGCTGGCTCTTACACGCAAACCCGGTTCTTCGCTTCCTTATAATCCACGTACTCGAAGTACCCTTGCCCCGCGGCTCATTTTATTGAGAGCCCTATAGACTAGGATGCAAGCTACAGTTACTGCTAAGGCTGTTAAGCATCAGAAGCTCAACGGATTCAACTGCATTCATTCAAGTACCCGTATCAAAGTGTTCAATTTGATTGTAGATTTGTTCAGTCAAAGAATTCAAAATTGTCCTACAAACATCTCGTTTGCACGGAATTTTCTAATTTTTCACGCCGGTTTTGATAGACTTGGTACTTAAGAGAGAATTTCATTATTTTAACTTTTCAATTTTGTACGCAGGTCAAAGACATTAACTTGACACTTCTTTGATTAGGGTCTCGATGCGGGGCGCATGCCCAGGCATGCCCGGAATCATGCCGAAAGGCACGGGCACGCCCGAAATCCACCCGGCCGGGCAGCGGTCGGGGTCGCGGTACGATTCCGGGCCGCCCGCGACACCGGGGCTCATTTCGGGCTTGCCGCGTGCCGGCGGCGGGTGGATTTCGGGCTTGCCGAGCGCATTTAGGCATCATTCAGGGCATGCCGGACACTTCGGCATCATTTCGACATCATTTCGACACATTCTCGGCACGATCTTTTTTAAACGGGGCCGCTTTGTCACATTACTTCGGCTGTGACACGCAATCAGCTGACGACAGGCATGGATCCAGGGGGGGGGGGGGGGGCGATAGGGGCGTCGCCGCCCCCCCTGATGGCGACGAAGCCGCCTGAAAGATAGGCAAAAAGTCGCACATTACCCCTGTAGGTAGGCAACTTTCGTGACATCGCCCCCCTTGAACCCGTCCCTGGATCCGCCCTTGGCTGACGAACTGTCACACCCAAACGAATGTGACACCTATGCACTGCCACGTTCGTTTGAATATGACACCTTCGTATTGTCAAGTTAAGTTCGTTTGAATGAGACACGACATGTCGATGGGTACCATGTGTCACATTCGTTTGAATGTGACTTCGCCGGCTGTTTGCGTGTCACACCCAAACTAATGTGACAAAGCGGCGTGGTGTGTCACATTCGTTTGACTGTAAACTTTCACTGTTTGTCACGCTCCTAATCCCTGGTAGAACTTGGATGTGGTTGGAGATCGGATTTCACATCCAAAGTCGTCCATTTTCTTCCGTAGACATCCAAATTCATCCATTTCCCTCCATTTTCATCCACTGACATCCAGTCACATCCATACTCGTCCATACATCTCCACTGACTTCCGGGCGACATCCACTCACGTCCAACGACATCCGCCCACCTCCCGGCCACATCCATTCTCGTCCATGGACATCCACTAGCTTCCTTACCACATCCACACACGTCCAAAGACATCCACTGACTCTCGAGTGACATCCACTCACGTCCATCCACATCCACACCTTCCCCGCCACATCCATTCTCATCCAACGACATCCACTGTCTACTCATCCACATCCACGCACGTCCAATAACTTCCACCAACTTCCAGACGACTTCCACTTACGTCCAACGACATCCACCTACTACGCAGCCACATCCAATCTCATCCAACCTCATCCAACGACATCCACTGCCTTCCCAGCCACATCCACAAACGTCCAAGGATATCCACTGACTTCCGTGGGACATCCGCTCGTCTCCAACGACATCCATTTAAGTCAATGGGCTTTACTTCCAAACGACATCCTTTTGCATCCACCGACATCCAGCCACGACCAAAAACCTGACATCCATTCCCATCCACCATCATCCATTCACATCCAAACGACAAACATTCACATCCAAATGACATCCATTTTTATCCATTTACATCCAAATCACATCCATTTTCGTCCATTCACATCCAAATGACATCCATTCACATCCAAAAGACATCTATTCACATCCATTGTCATCCATTCACATCCAAATGACATCCATTTTTATCCATTCACTTCCAAATGACATCCATTGACATCCATTCACATCCAAATGACATCCATTCACATCCATTGTCATCCATTCACATCCAAATGACATGCATTTTCATCCATTCACATCCATTCACATCCAAATGACATCCATTTTCATCCATTCACATCCAAATGACATCCATTTACATCCATTCACACCCAAATGACACCCAATTTTATCCACCGTCATCCCTTTTCATCCAAATGACACCCATTCTCATCCAAATAACATCCATGCCACTTGGATGCCATTTGGATGTGAATGGATGTCATTTGGATATGAATGGATGAGAATGGATGTGAATGGATGTCATTTGGATGTGAATGGATGAGAATGGATGTGAATGGATAAGAATGGATGTGAATGGATGTGAATGGATGTCATTTGGATGTGAATGGATGAGAATGGATGTGAATGGATGTCATTTGGATGTGAATGGATGAGAATGGATGTCATTTGGATGTGAATGGATGAAAATGGATGTCATTTGGATGTGAATGGATAAGAATGGATGTGACTGTAATAGTAGGGATGTCGTTTGGATGTGAGTGGATGGCGATGGATGTGAATGGAAGTCACTTGGATTCGAATAGAAGTCACTTGGATCTGAATGGATGTCGCTGGGATGTGCCTGGTTGTTGCTGGGAGGCAAAGAGATGGCATTTGGATGCATGTGGGTGACGATGGATGTAAATGGATGACGGTCGTTGAGAATGTATGTCGGTGATGTGAGCCCCCGAACATTCGTAGTGTGAGGATGAGGTTCATGGAGCCGCCGCCAGATGGCGCTGTGCTCAACGTTCCGTTGTTCGTTCTCGGTTACAGTGTTGGTTGATGTTTTAAGTAGGCTGTAGGACATTTTTGCGATCATTCACCATACTTGGTCCTTTCGGCCTTTGCGCCCAACGGTCGTTTAGGTTTAGAAACTTCCTTTGGGAGCTCCTCCACAGGACCATTTAGATGTGAATGGATGTCGATGGACGAGAATGGATGTCATATGGAAGTTAATGGATGACGATGGATGAGATTAGGCGTCATATGGACGTTAAAGATGGATGACGGTGTATGAGAATGGATGTCATTTGGATGTGAGTGGATGTTGGTGGATGAGAATGGATGTCATATGGATGATAATGGATGACGGTGGATGAGAATGGATGTCAATTGGATGTCTTTGGATGAGAATGGATGTGTTTTGGATGTTAATGGATGTAGGTGGAAGAGCACGGATGTCGTTTGGATGTGAATGGATGACGATGGATGAGAATGGATGTCATATGGAGGTAAATGGATGATGTTGGAAGAGAATGGATGTCATTTGGATGTGAACGGATGTCGATGGATGAGAATGGGTGTCATTTGGATGTGATTGGATGAGAGAGGATGCGGATGGATGACGATGGATGTGATTTGGATGTGAATGGATGTCGATGGATGCCGATGGATGAGAATGGATGCAGGTGGATGCAAACGGATGACAGTGGAGGTCGTTACTGGATATGGATGTCGGTGGATCTGAATGGATGTGGCTGGGCTGTCAGGGAACGTCGTTGGATGTGAATGGATGACGTTTGGATGTCGCTTGGATGTCGGTGGATGTGGTTGGACCTGTTTGGATGTGAGGAGCTGACATCCAGGGACTTCCAGAATGAAACATTCCGGATATCCGTGGATGTCATTGGAACATCCTGGATGTCCCTGGACGTCAAGAATACGACATCCAAAGTCGTCCATAAATTCCCATCAGGGATATCGGCGTTTTCACGTGAAAAAGAACGTGACGTCATATTCTTTGGCTGCCAATGTGAGATGAATTTTATCTCAGCATGCGAAGAAATAAGAATTGTAGTACAGGGAACGCCCTTTCCACAACGGAAGAATTAGTTAGAATGCCGCGGATGAAAGTCGAGCTCTTGGCCGGCCCACGGGCAGCCCACTGCCGAGTCTTGGCTTCGGCTGCGGCAGTAGTCAGCCAGGCCAGATAGGACGCCTCTACCGCCGCTGCTGCAAGCCTGGCGTGCTGTACTACGAAGCCGCTGTTTTCTTTGTAAGGCTTACGAGTGCGGTCAGGATGAGGGCCGCTCGGAGCAAGCTTATCTATCCGCCGACCACCGGAAGATGCTCCTCGAGTGCAGGAGCACCTGGTCGCGTGGCCCAATAAGTAGCCCTGGGGCCTTCCTTGTAGTACTAGACTGCTGAGGTCCAGCCAACTAGCCAACTCCCACAGTCTGTTCGGTCTCGTCTTACAGTTCGTGTGCTTCAGGTAAGCGTGACATACCGGAGAGCTACTCATTTGGGCATTGGGAAACTAAGTATTGAGAACTTCACACTTAAAATGTGGGGCTGCAAGTTACGGTACTCCAAACTCTACGAAGAATCGCTTCGCAATACGAAGAAAATGAAGGCATTGTAAAATCTACTCCGGCATGTGACCCTAATTTCTTAGAGCGTGCCTCGCGCAAGGGGTTGTGTTCATGGCAGCAGTTTGTGGAGTTGGTCGTTCGTCAGTCGGGTCTTTAACTCTGGGTCTAGGAATGGCCCGAGCGACGCAGCCCCTTCCTTGGCTGGCGGTGCTGGCTGCGCTGGGCGTGGCTCTGTGTGGCGGCGCCGCGGTGGACGACCCCTTCGCAGTGCCCGAGGGCCTGCTCATCGGGGCGGGGGTGTCTGCCATCCAGACGGAGGGAGCCTGGGACGAAGACGGTGAGTACGCGCCGTCAGGATGTCGGAAACCTGTCTGAAAACCTGATCAAAATTCGCGCACCTCAATAACAAAAAGAATTATTTTCTTGGTCAGCTGAAAACACTTTGCTGAAAATACTGTGTAATGTCAAACTAATTTCTGTGCAAGGCCTGTGACTGTTTGCAAGGTTCTGAGTTTCAGGCCTTACAAAGAAACGCGGTTTGTCATAACAATGTATTTTGAGCACATAACCTTACAAAGAAAATACTTCGTAATTTACGAACTTTCTTTGTGTAACAAAGTAAACTACTTTGTATTATGTATGTTCAAAATACTTCGTAAGGTTTAAAACGTGCGCTCTGGCTCGCGCAGGCAAGGGCGAGAGTGCCGTGGACCACCTGCTGCACTCGGGCAAGCTCGCCGCCTTCGGACTCAACGACTCGCACCCGCACGACGTGGCGGCCGACTCGTACCACCGCTACAAGGAGGACGTCCAGGCCGCGGCCTCGCTGGGGGTGAGCTCACGCCAAGGGGAAATAACTCCAGCCATATTTTTGCACTGAAATTCATCAGACATGTAAAATTCACTGAAATTCATCGAAATTCTATTGACATTCATCGAAAGTTAACTGAAATTCATTAAAATTCGACTAATTTATTGGATTTGTACACTGAAATTCACACACTGAGAATCCAAACTCTATGAGTATAGCGTCAATTGGTGCAATGCAAAAGCATTGCACATGAAGTGCAATGCCTCCCTCTCATGCATTAGCATAGGTCATTTTCGGGATGCATTGCACGTAAGGTGCAATATGGCTGAGGCATTGCACGTATGGTTCGATATCTCGACGCATTGCACCATACGTGCAATACTCATAGCGTTTGGAATTTCAGTGCAGTGACTTCTTCTTGGCTCACACAGCGCAGAGTGCTCGCTGACACCAGCTCTGCGCTCGTAGAACCGAATTCACTGTAATAAGAAGTCTTTCGAAGCTACAAAGGTACCTCTAGCAAAAATGTTGCCGAAGACGCCTTCGTGAATTTACGGAGATTACACGAAGCTACACAAAATACTACGTAGCAATTTAGTGTGATGAACCAAGTCCCTAGGGGCACGTAGAGCGCATGTCCCTTTCTTTGAAAACCAGAGGAGTTGGGCACTAAGGCGACGATGCGATTGCAGCTCAAGCTCTACCGCTTCTCCATCTCGTGGTCGCGAGTGCTGCCCGACGCCGTCACGAGGAACGAGAAGGGCGTGCAGTACTACCACGACCTCATCGACGAGATCCTCAAGCACGGCATGACCCCCCTGGTAGGCGACGTGTCAACAGATCGCAAATACTTTCACTGGTAATACTTAAACGTAACTCTATGCTTGAGTCAAGCATAGAGTTACGCTTGAAATGAAGCATACTCTAGAAATTCCACCATGCATTTAGATGGGGAGAATCTTGACGGATGAGCCTGTTACGCTTGAATACAGAGGGTAATACTACGCTTTAGTTTTACCAGTGTTGAAAACGAACGAAATGATTCAATGGAGGGCACATTCAATCCCAAAACGGAACAAAAGAGTGCAGTTTCCAAATGCAAATATTTAGGACCAAATTTTCAAAACAGTGTTCATTTTTCCCGTTTTGACCCGCCGCTCTCTATAAAAAAAGTATCGGAGGGTCTATGCACGAAAATTTGATTCGAAATTGAATGAGGCCACTTCGCTCATCACTTATCTTAGTTTATTAGCCCGCGATCAAAAGAAAAAATTAATTCGGCTTCCAGCAAAAAATAATTGTTTGTTTCGGCCCGACGCAGGTGACGCTTTATCACTTCGACCACCCTTGGATACTAGAGGAGGAGTTCAAAGGTTGGCAGAGCGAGAAAATGGTCAACTATTTCAAGGACTTCGCTCGACTCGCCTTCACCGAGTACGCTAGCAAGGTAAGCAGCCCCTGCCGTAGGAACAGACGGTGGGAATGCACGCTTCAGGGAGCAGTAGCCCAAAGTGCGTTTGTTTACGATACTCGAACCTCCTGTTTGGACGTAAATGAAAAGATTGATATTAATACTGGGAAGAAACGATGGGCACCGAGTTAAAATACGAACTTTTAACAACAGTCTTAAAAACTTTTTTGTTCAGCATCAAATTATGTCAAGGTATGAAACATGCACTGAAAACTTTAGTGTGTATTGAGTACACACCTAGAGCACCTCAGTAAGTACAAGAGGTCTGCGATATTATATAGAGTCACACCGCGGGCAATTTCAGCTAAAATTCTGAACTTTTTTCCAATCGGAGAAATTGTACTGTGGAAGCATAAAATTCCCCACCATATGTAAAACTGCCCTCTTTGCAAGAAGTTTGCAAGTTTTTGAGAATGTGCCTTACTATTTTCTGATGCTGCAGGCCAAGCTCTGGATAACCGTCAACGAGCCCAACAACTGGTGCACCTACTTCCCCAACCTGTTCCTGCTGGCCGGCATGTACACGGCGGCCGACATGGACCAGTACGCGTGCATGCGTCACCTCATCCTGGGCCACGCCGAGGCGTACCACATCTTCAAGGACGCCGGCCACGAGGGTACGCCCACACTGCATGTCATGGCACATTTTTTTGTCCCACGAGTAATGCATTTTTAAGCACAATTTTGTTCACGCCCGGCAAAACATTTTGCCTGATGCCAACTGCTCTACAAAGTCAAGTATCGACATGGTTCACTCCACCTGGAGTCAACCTGGCATGTACACTGTTGCTGAAGTCCACTACCTTCTGCACGTAAAGCAGAGCACCATGCACACTTGAGTTTGTAGAGTGTAAGTTGTACTCTTATTGGGCAATTTATTCCGGGGGAAAGAAATTGAACGACCATCGGAGGTGAATAAAACGTGCATCATCCATGGGACGAAATAACGCTGCAAAGCAAGTTTACTTGCCACAAATTTGGAAAGCCGTTTTGAATGCCAAAAATTGGCAAGCTTGGCCCGGAAACACTCCCCAGCTTGCCAAAATTTGGCAAGCGTATGAAGATTGCCTACCAAAGCTTGCCAAATTTTGGCATTAAAAACGGCTTACTAAATTTGTGGCAAGCGAACTTACCACCAGCTTTGCAGTGAAGTCCCATGACAGGAAGTGCACACTGCAAGGCATGTCACCGCGAGAACTATGGCCCTCAAATCGAGTGTGTATCAGTTACGAAATTAACAGCAATCGCCCCAAAAGACTGTTGATGATTTTTCACTCTACTGAGCTCAGTGGCCTGGAGGGTGATAGAAGGGTAATACCGAAACTGCAATTTTTATCCAAACTTAACCAAACTCTAACCTAACCTAACCCTTCAAAAATTTAATGGTCCTGTACATGTCGTCACCGTTCTGGTAGCACAGAATCACGATGAAAAGTCGATCCTGGTAGTGGAGGTCACTCCGAAACGCCTCCCTGTACCTCTTCTTCATCGGTCCCCAGGTGTCACCCTCTCCAAGGCTGTCCAGGACACCTAACCACGCTTCTTAAACTGGGCATTTAGGCATTTTCGCGCACACAACACACACGTTGTTTACAACGCCGGGCATGGGCGTTTGGGGACGTAGTACATAACCCTACCTTGAGATGGCGCTGGTGGCGGCGCACCAGTCTGCTAGAGCTGCCGTGCGTATAAACAGTGAAAAAGCCTAACCTTTTCGCGTTTTTTAAAAGTCCTCGAATCACCGTTTTCCACTTCTCAGATTGTTCGCGAGGTCAAATAAGTACAAAATCCAGAGTTTGGTTAAGTTTGGATGAAAATTGTAGTTTCGGTAATACCCTACTATCACCGCCTGGAGCCCGCAGCATCAGACGCCGCCAAAGTACCGTCGCAACGGGGGTAACTTGGGACACCGGGGGCAACTTGGGACAGTCTGCCCTGTACACCTTGTTGGTGCTGCCATTCAGCGATGGGGGTTTCTAGCGTCAAACCCGCGGCAGGATTTTGTTGCAGAGGGCTCAGGCCACGCGCGGAAAGGTGGAAAAGGTGCATAACATCACAGTTAGTACTTGAGAAACGGGAAACTACATAATAGGGTTTTTGACAAAATATGTCAAACATTGTCTAGTTGACCCTGGTGCAAGGAGTGAAATGCAGATTTGATGTCTCTCTGATTTCAGTTGATTTCAGTTTTCCCATCTTCGGTCCAGACTTCAATTTATCAAAAATCGAAATTTTACGGGGTAACTTGGGACAGTTTTCTCCTCATGTTTCCAGCAGTCCTAGCCTCCTAGGAGTTGTCTGACCCGGTCCCTGACATAACTTAATCTTCGGATTTTACGCTGATGATGGATAGAGATGCCTTGCTGTCCAGTTTTGTCTTCTGGTAATATTTTGAACTTTTCAGAAAATGCCTGGAAAATACCAGAAAAAAAGAGAGGTCCAAGAGTTCCAGATATAGTCCAATATCGGTCCCGCAAGAGTTCCTAGGCCTGAATTCTTGGTCAATATGTTGTGACTGATATTTATTTCATCCATTAACATCAAAAGATGCATGGGAATGTAGCTAATTACCTACTGTCCCAAGTTACCCCCACCCCCGGTCATGGGGTAACTTGGGACACTCTTTCGAGACCGCTTGTAAACGATATAATCGAGGCAAATAAACCAGACCAGCATGAAATCACGGGGAAAGGGTAAAACTTTAACATAGTTAGGATTCAATGGTCTAGGTTAAGAACCTCTGGCGTTCAAAAAACGTGAAAAAGTTGTGAAAAAGTGTCCCAAGTTACCCCCGCTGACGGTAGTTTGTATAGAGCTTTGAGAAATCGGTTTCGATGTGGCCCTCAGGCCAGGTGGGCTTCTCGGCGCTCCTTTACACCGCCCGCCCCAACTCCACCCGCATCGAGGACGTGTACGCCGCGGACGCCTTCAACCAGGTCAACACCGGCGTCCTGCTTCACCCGGTCGTCTACGGCGACTACCCGGAGGTAGGCGCGCTGAGGCGCTTCACTGCTAAGCATCATTCACGCAAACACTTTCACTTTCATTCTAGGAAAGTGACATTGGGTGGAAACGAATGTGACAAGGTGTCTGCGTGTGTGTATAGTGACTGATTCACATCCAAAAGAAAAGGACATATTGCTCAAAGGAACGTGACATCTTGTAACGCTCCTGGAATGAGAGTGCGAGTTCCAACAAACGTGACTTACACTCTCACACTGTTAAAAAAAGTGCTGTAAATTAACAGCACTTATGCTGTTAAGTTTGATAGCAGCACGACTTGTTTTATTACAAGCATGTTGTAGCCCTCGGTGCTGTTTTCTGACAGTTCGATTGTAATAAAACAATACTTCTTTGGAGTCTTCAACGATGTCTTCCCAACATTTGTGTTGATTTCATCGTGCTGATATTAAACAAAACCCTTATAACCAAGATTGCAAAAGGCTGTTTCTAAACATGAAACCTGTTCAACGACAACCCAGTCCAAAAAAAACCATGGGGCATCCCATGAGCCATGGCGGTGCATGGGATGCCATGGGCCGATTCTTTCCATGGGAACGATTCCCCGTGATTTTTGGAACAACTTCTCATGGTGTCTTGCGACTCATGGGGAAAAATACCATGGAGTGTGAGTCATGGGAAGCACTTCCTTGCCTTGGCAGAGTCCCGAGTACAAAATGATGAGATCAGTGCCTAATCTGGACTTAATCATTTCACAGGTCACCCCCTAAACTTTTGACGCTACATCCGATTTTGCAATCATATTTTGTCTGGAGGGCACCGTTGACATGATATGACCTATAATTGAAAACAAGGCGGAGACTTCAACGCACGAGCAGGACTGCCTTCCCATGGGAAGTCTGAACCCATGGAAAAGTTCATATCATGGGGGAGGTCCTCCCATGGTGCTAGGCCTGCACCCTGGCAAACGACCTCCATTTTGGATAGCATGCCGCTTGTCCATGGTGCTGAACCGCAGTCTCATGAGATTTCAGTGCGCTGTCATGGGATTTGTGTCATGGGTATCCCATGCAATCCATGATTTTTTGGGACTGCACAACTATTTTGAATGACGATTACATTGTTGTTACTTGACAAGTAGATTGTTATGAAACGAAAGTGCTGTTTCTGGATGGGTTTCCCGTTCAGACACAAAACATTACTGTTGTTATTAAACAGCATTACTGGTGGTGATTGTGTTGTAATATTACAGTGGATTTTTAACGGTGCAGACCTATATATACTTTTTCTTCTCTTGCTTACACTACAAACCTAACTGTCTACTAAGTACACGCTTGCAAATGCATGCTTGCAAGTACACACTTACAAACGCATGCTTGGCCAAGTACACACTTACAAATGCATGCTTGCAAGTACACACTTACAAACGCATGCTTGACGCATGAAGTTATACGGCGTCAAGCATGCGTTTGTAAGTGTGTACTTGCAAGCATGCATTTGTAAGTGTGTACTTGGCCAAGCATGCGTTTGTAAGTGTGTACTTGCAAGCATGCATTTGTAAGTGTGTTCTTAGTAGACAGTTAGGTTTGCAGTGTATGACGTCTTTTGAGCAAACATAAATTTACCTCTTACAATACGCACAATTTTGATCGTTTTAAAGATAAGATTGTCAATAGATCATGTAGAAATTGAAAAGTATTGCAAATGACCAAAAGTCAGGATTAATGGACTAAAAAAAATATACAGAGAACAAAATAATGCGTAGTTAAACAGAAAATACTGCGTTCGCACAAAATACTTTATGGCAAGAGATAAAAAGTCATTACGAGACTGAGAGTGTAATTGAAGTCGGTATGATGTAACGTTCATAAAATGTGATGAGTGAGTATCGGATTCCGCGCCGCAGGTCGTGAAGGAGCTGGCCGGCAGCCTGATGCAGCCGTTCAGTGAGGCCGAGAAAGAGCGCATTAGAGGGACCTCGGACTTCCTCGCCTGCAACGTGTACTTCGGCATGGTCGCGAGCTACACCACCGACGGCAACAGCCCCGCCAGCCAGATACCCCTCATCGGCCCGTTCTTGTCGGTCATGCCCTTCGTGAACCCGGCGGTGGTTGGCACCGACTTCCTACACATGAACACCATGTTCAGCTTGGTAGGCACACCCTTAAAACCTTACAAAGAATTTTCTTTGAAATCTTATGTATGCGCAAAATACTTTGTTAAAACAAACCGCTTTGCTTCACTTGTGTAAATTTTGTCAGAATGTCAGAAAAAGCTCGTGCACCTCTGAAAGCTGAAATTCTGAACACTTACTCTGATATTGATGGCCTGAGTTCTAAAGAATGTCAGAATAAGTTTTCAGCTTTCAGAGGTGCGCGAATTTGGATCAGGTTTTCAGACACACGGCGGAAACGGTACCCGGTTTTCCCAGGAGCCCTACGGCGAAGACATAGGCGATTTCCAGGGTGTTCCTGGGAAAACCAGGAACTGCTTTTACCGTGCAGGAACAAGTTATTGCTTTGTAAGAAAAATGTTGTGTTGCATTCATTATTCCAATATGTTAATCACTCATTTAATGGAATATCGACGAATCCTATTCAAGAGATCACTGGGCGTTCCCCCCGAAAGACCCTTACCTAAGACGCAGGCGAATTTCACTCAGTGTGATCATTTGATACGGCTACAAATCAATATAATTTGAGATTAGCTCACTTATACTTGACTCTTCATGTCTACTCTGGCAAGCATCAACCAGCCGTCTTGAATCTCTCCCCGGCAGGTCAAGCCCGACGCGATACGGTCCGCAGTGCTGTGGGCCTGGAGCCAGTACAAGCTTCCGCTGGTCATTTCCGAAAACGGCTTCGGTGACATTTATGGACTGGGCAAGAAGGATCGCATCCGAGGAGTTTATCACAGTGTAAGTGCCTGGTCCAATATCGTGTTTGTCATAAACGTAACCAGGTTCATGTGGAAGGTGTACATCATTCCTGATGTTGCATTTCTCAGGCTTACCTGCGCTCGCTTGTATCGACTATGAAAGAGTTCGGCATCAAGGTGATCGGCTACTGCACTTGGAGTTTGATCGACAGTTTCGAGTGGACTGCCGGATACAGGTGAGACCCAATGGCGCACATTGCTTCGAGAACTGGTCACACCTCGATCAGCCCTTCTCTAGACATGTCGCCTTACTGTTCCTTGGTAGAAGATCTTATCCGACTGTTTCCGGAGAAATGATCTTACCTCAGATGCACATGAATTTCGGGCGGTTCAGAGAGTGAGCATGACAAACTATTCCCACAACCACACCTTTTTTGAGGACTCTCCTCCTTATCGCGTGATGAGAGATAGGATTCGTTGTCCGGAAAGGAACAGATAAGACCTTATTAAGACTTATAATTACTGGGTAATGTTTTGACAGTCGCCCGTTCGGTCTGTTCCACGTGGACTACGAGGGAGGCAGCCTGGACCGTAGCCCGAAGGACTCGTCGCAGTTCTGGATCGAATTGGCCAAGACGGGGTCCGTTCCCCTGTGGGAGGAGGACCTGGCCTCGTCGGGTGCGAGGTCGGCAGCGTCTGCTACACTGCTGCTTCTGCTAGCGCTGCTAGCCTTCTGCTTCTGATCTGTTTTCATTTCGGAAATGAGTGAACATTTACATTTTTTCCGGAGGCCTGTCAAGAGCGCGTTACCTTAAGCGTTTATAATCGTTGTTTCCGCATCTCGTCAAGAGCTACGGATTCAAAAGTTGTGCACGGGGTGGCTATCAATTAATCAATTTAAGACGGAGTCATCCCTTTTTATAAGTTATCTGCCTGGCCGCTAATGAGATAAACGGAAAACGTTAATTGCGCGAGTAGAATGTCAGCGCGTCCTAAACCTAGAGGTTCAAACACTCTTAAAATTAAAAGCACATTGTCACAGTTCAGAATAAATGTTCATAATAATTTTAAATTTAAAATAAAAATAGGAAACATATGAAGAGGCTTACTTAGTCCCTACAATACACAAAACACGTGCTTTGGTCAGAAGAGAAGATCATAAACAAGGTAGGAAAATTGTTTTCTCTTTCGAAACAACTGATAATGATTTGGACCACTTATATACACAAATTTTCAATTTCAGTTTGATTGACATGTTCAATCGGAGACCAAGAGTAAAGACAGCTATAATAATTGTAAATCCCATCAGTTTGGTTGATTGGTCGAGCGGGCGCAAGTATGAGAAATCGCTGCGGCAGATTTTTGCAGCTAACTTTAATATATATTCTGCCGCCTTCACTCTTGGTCTCCGATTGCGATGAAACTTACAATGGAGCTGTAGAATTGACTGGCCTACAAGGTGGTGTGGTTGGATTTACAATCTGAGAAATAGTTTTCACACATTAAGCTCCACAAAATACTTGAACTGTTTTGGCGGTTTTGCAGCGCTTCGGGCCTTTTCGTTTCAATTAGAAGTTTGACCTCCTTTTGCAAATCCAACACAGCAGGGCGATAGAGAATTGAATTCTGGGTTGCTTAGTGAGGTTGACAATGCTGAGAAACCTATTTCAAACTGTGCTTTTAACCTCCAAAGTTTCAAAATACAATTTTGGACCAAAAATGGAAATTAGTTTTTGGATCGGCATTTCTGCTACAGAAGTCGTATTGGCGTTCCAAGTGTACCACGCAACCCGGAAAATAGTGGCCAACAATCGGCTCGCTGTATGTATGGACCTAAAACGAACGGAAACAGCTTTTTTAGTGAAAGGGAAACTTCAAGTCGGCTGTCTGGTGCCGTAAATTTGGTTTTCAAATTGATTTTAGAACTGTTTCACATATCCAAAAGTCCATTCCCTTGTCACTCACGGATAGGAAATTTTGCGTAGAATCTAAAAATGACCTCGTTTACTCAGTTCGATGCAGTTTTGACAAAGTTCTGTTTAATTTGGTTCGGCCGCGCGGCCCAGCCGCCCGGCCGCTCCTTGCCGGCCCGAGCGGCGCGCATTGCTTCACGCGCGCACTAGGCTGTTGCCACCCCCTGGTACCCTTGGCCTCAACCCTTGATCTTGAGAACCTGAAACATTAAAATTCACATGTTCATAAGATTGCCTTTAAATTAAACGACAAAAATAAGTTAATAAGGAGAAACGCCTAAAACAACATTTCGAACAAAAAAATTTATAAATAGAAAAAAATAAGTGAAGCGACTACTACTACTAGGCTTTGTAGGTAATGATACAAGGGTTTAAATGGAACCTGGTGTTTGAGCTTGAGCTGGAACTGTGTTAGCATTGGGGGCTGGAACTGTGTCAGCATTGGGGGACCAGTGGTGTCATTGGGCGTATACGGTGGTATACGGCGTATACTGTCGAGTTTTTTTCGAGGCCACCGTATACACAGTTCTGCATGTAAGGGTATACGGCAAGTTCCCGGGTATACGGCGGGTATACGGGGCTTGAATTTCAGCCGAGGGCGGCCTAACACAAGGCTTGCCGGCCGTTAACGGGTTTCGGGACTTCAGAGCAGACCAAATTCGCGTGCCAAACCTTCTTCGTCCTCTGAAAAGGTTGGCTGATACGTTTTCCGTGAGCTCAGCTGAGTGCGAGAGGGGATTCTCCCTGATGAATCTCATCTGCACTCAGCTGAGGACACGGCTAACCGTAACGCACCTTTCAAGCCTCATGTTTGTTAATATAAATGGCCCACCTTTAGCACAATTCCGGCCAGACCAATACGTCAGGAAATGGCTGATCAAACACAAAAGTGCCACCCAACCTCCCCCGAGAAAAACAACTGCGTCTGTCACTACAAAACCCTTTTGGGCTTTGATGTAATAAATTGATGTAAATAAATAAAGTGATTGATACGTATGCGTATACGCTGTATACGCCCGTTTACATTCTTGGTCCGCCACCGACCGTATACTCACGAAAAAAAATCCAATGACACCACTGCTGGGGGACTGAATAATTTCTGGTTCTGGATTAATTTCTGTGCCTGAAATAATAAGAATACTTAAAATGTGACAGTAAATAATTTTTTAAAAAAGGATACTGGGACAGTTTGCAGACTCTGTCATACCAGGTAGAGTTACAGCATCAGCGAGTGGCCACACTCCAGACCCTCTAAAACCTCCTTGGATATTTGCTGGAGTTATACTTTTAACCCAGGCTGAGTTCAAAACTTGAGCAATATGGTATCTATTAATTGGCTGAGCGATAGCGAAGCCTGTTACTCCAGTGCGGTTGAAAAGTTTTTTCTGTCTGTCTGTGTGTCTGTGTGTGTGTACACTACTCCTCCTGAACGGCTCGGCCGATCTGGCTGAGATTTTGCAGGCTTATTAGGTATGTTCTTAGCTCGGCACACGCGAAATTTCACCATCCTAGCTCAACTGGTTCAGTTTTTATAGCCGAAAAACACCTAAAAAACGGCGAAAAATCGAGTTTTCTGCAGGTAAATCACCTCTGTCTTGAAGAAAGGGGGGTCTGGGGGGCGCAGCCTCGACAAGTTAAAAAGTTACAAGGGTCAAGATCGTGTTATCTGTAGATGAAGGAACTCTCTCTAGAATACAGGGGGGTCTGGGGGGCGGAGCCCCCCAGCATGCAACACTTAAGAAGTAACCGCCGACGGACAAGTCAATGCCTGCCGAAGGCAGGCTATCGCCGCAGGCCAAGGTAGGTACGCCAGGCGCGGATTGGAGGAACAGGCCGCGAGATATCGCGAAGCCTGTTACGACAAGACGCGGTCTGGCGTAAACCTACCTTGTATTCTTAATTTTGTTTTTCCTCATCAGCTTTGAAGATTCTGAAGAAAATGCAGACTTGAAGGATTTAAAAACACCAACATCAAGAGGCTGATAAAAATTTGTTGTGTGAGGAGGAAGTAGCAAAAGGTGAATGTCATTGCTGCGAGCCATTTCAACAATTTAGAGCTGTGACTTCCATGGCCATCCATCAAAAGTAGTACTGGCCTGGCAGGTGGAATTGCTGCAATGAATCTGGGGCGTTCCACGTCAAACCATCATGGTCCAAAACGTACTTGCTCAGATCCGGCCCCCAATTTTTTATCTGGTAGTGTACCACCCTAAGACCACTCTTATAAATTTTTTTGAAAAAAAAATTCAGAACTTTGGCCACAGTGATTTTTTGAAACTTCCAAAAAAAATATATAATTTTTTTTTTAGTTTTTTTTTTACATTGTGTATCTAGGTGCTCAAATGGGTTGAAAACAGTAAAGGGCAACATAAAATAGTGAAAAAGAAAATTGGGACCCCCAGCCCTTACCAGAAACAAAGTTTACGATAAAAAAAACCACGGTTTCTTGAATTCCCAAAATACGCCGTCTCACTTTTGGACCATATTGGCATCAAAGGACCCCAATGAGGTACTCTAACTGTCACTAAAAAATTAGGGACGGCAATCCATAAACACCAGAGATATTGTCAAAAAACTCTAAAAGTTATCGAAGGTTATCGAAGCTTTTTCCCCCAAAATTGTCAAAATGGGACCTATATTGGTTCCGCTGAGGCGCTGTGCACTGAAATACTATTCAATTGTCTGTCTTGACACCATGGAAGATGTGAGAGAGGTAAAGGTCAGCATTACAAGAGTTTTGGAATTACACGGCAATAAGTTTTTTTAATTATAATAACCAAATGCGACAAAATGCATTGTTTGGCAGTCGCCAACTGAAGCTCATTGATTGGTGGGGACTTCATCCAAGCCATCTTCACCTAGACCATGCAACTGCTGGAGACTTAAAAGAAGAAAATGAAGATGACCTGGATGAAGTCCCCACCAATCAATGAGCTTCAGTTGGCGACTGCCACAATTTAAAAAAAAACTAAAAAAAAATTATATATTTTTTTTGAAGTTTCAAAAAATCACTGTGGCCAAAGTTCTGAATTTTTTTTCAAAAAAATTTATGAGAGTGGTCTTTGGGTGGTACACTACTAGATAAAAAATTGGGGGCCGGATCTGAGCAAGTAAGGGAGGGTGGGGTACAATGGGACACGGGGCACAATGGGACACTGTCAAATTAGCCACCTTGCGGTGTTCGTAGGATCTGCGGGTTACGCTCGATTATAGGCCAATAGTTGCCATGTTAGTTTCACAAAGTGGGAACTCTATTCAACTGAGCGTTCTCTTGGCAGGTCGACGCAAAGTGCGAATGTAAGAAAAACGAGGCAAAACTAGCAAGACCGGAGAATTTTGTTTTTCCTCTAGCATTTAAAGTATTTGTCGCACGTTCGTGGCGAGTTTACCAGTGTGTTCGTTGGTCTTTTGAGGTTCACTGAGACTTGTCTGGGCGCTCTGGCTTTTGGGGTTTAAGAGCTAGAGCGTGTCCAGTCCAGCGTGTCGTTCGGGGCACAATGGGACACCCTCGTTTGGGGCACAATGGGACGTGTTAATCAAAGGGCTTTCAAGTTTTGGTTGTAGTTTATGTCTAAATGAAGCCAAACCATACGTTTATTATGTTATTCACAAGAATTTTGTCATCACACATTTCTTTTGTGCTTTTATTGTATTTAACACTGCATATTCTTTATTTGTTACACATCTTACTCCGGTATTTTTTTTTAAAGGCAACCAGTGACGTAAGTTCTATTTCAAAATAGTTTGTGACGAAAATAGATCAAAACCTGTTGCCTACAATTTTTTTAATGCTCCTTCGCTTTATTTTTAGCTCATAAAAGGGTGTGTCCCATTGTGCCCCGAGGCTGTCCCATTGTGCCCCAGCCCGGGGCACAATGGGACAGGTGACACTTTTCGGCAAAATGTCCCCACAGACCAAAAATGCCGTAAAATCAATTTTTTGTTCGAATAAAAGTTATAGACAAATAAACAAAGAACATTTTGAGCTATCGGGAGACATTCTAGCTCCAACGGTCTCGGATCTAGGCCAAAAACAAAAAAAGCGTCCCATTGTACCCCACCCTCCCTTACGTTTTGGACCATGATGGTTTGACGTGGAACGCCCCATCTCTTA